AATGTAATGACAGTAAATTTTTATTTAAATAAAGTCTCGCATTTAATGCCCATTCGCGATAAAAAAAAAAAAAAAAAAATTTTAATATATAAAATATTCTACTATTTTTAATCCCAGAGCATAGCCCGGGCTAATGAGCTAGTTACATCATATACAAATTAAATAAAGAAATGATATTTATTTATTAAAAAATAATAATTGTAATTTATAATATTTTTGAATATTTCGTAATTAACACACTATATATAGTATCTATAATTAGATTATAGAATAATATATTATATATATAATATACTTTTTTAAATTTATCACATTTATTAATAAAAATATTTATAAAAATCAAAATAATAATAATAATTGTTATATAATATATTTAATTTAATGGTTTTGGGTTTTTAAAAAATTTTTGGAATAATAGAACCATTTACGCGGTATACATTGTTTCTTGTCTTTGTATTGGGTTTCCATCTATTTTCCTAAATAGATATATTAAACAGTGTACGTTCATGATTTCATGATTTTTACTCGTACAAAAATTTCCATTTTCCAATGTTGAAGCATTATTTTTGAAACAGGTTTTGTATAACAATAGAAATGGTGTATTAATGAACGTTGTAGAACGATACACAATCTGCAGATTATGATTAGCTAAAAATAATTATACAGTCGCTAAATTTACACATTAATAAGAATTCTATTAATCATTCGTTATCTAAAAATTCCTTCTTTAGGATTTTGACAACTATAGTTGCCAATTTACGTTTCCATTTACTTACCATAATTTTGGTTTCCAACTACCTACTTCTTTTCTCTCATTAACGTTTCTTAAATAATATTTTATTCCTTTCTGTTTTAAACTTTCTAGACACGAATTATCTTGACACACGAAACTACCTAAACACTTCTCACCATTACAGCCGTACTCTAAACTTTCTTCACTTAAATTTCTTTACCCCATAACTTTGTCAATAAGAGTTATTTGAACTTCTGCTTTCATACCTGTCTTAAGCAAACACTCGATTATAAAAATTATTACGAATGCTTGTTGAAACATCAAATCCCCGAGACTCTTATTACTCCTCTTTGTTTGATGAATACATGGCTAGTTCTCCACGTGATCCAAATCCACCAAGTACTAGCCCAACATGGGGTCATGTTACAAATTCTGTTAGACGGCGTCCGTCATTAAATCTGCATCCTCGAAATGGTAGCATAAGCAGTCTCAAACGTCAACCTTCTTTTGATTGTCCTTCACCAGCACCTTCCGCAATTTTTACACCATCCAATCGTTCGAGTCAACTTACTTCGATGTTTAATTACACTGCTTCTGGGCATTTTCCACAAAGTCCAGGATACATATTTTCCCTTTACAGTTCATATAACAATCCCGGAAGAGATAGTATCGGTAGTAATGAAGAACGACCTGTTAGTCTGATGGTTCCTCAGCAGTTGCAAAAAGGAAATGAAGGTCGAGCTTCATCACCTTCAAGTATCTACGAAGATCCACCAAATGATGGCAATACAAGGCCATCTTCTTCGAGCAGTTATGATGATGTAAATAATGTACCAATAGAAACTCCAACAAAAAATACACCATCACAATCAGATTCAATCAGTATAAATAGAAGTAGCTCCGTGAAACAGAAAAATGATCAGGATAGGTAAAGTGTGATCTTGTTATTTCAGCTGTCTGACTGATAATTAGGATGAAAAAAAAATAATAACGAAACTTGTTTTTAGAGATCGGTATGGTTTTAGAAGATCATACCAGTGGATAACTCATAAAGAGTATTCCGAATTTGAATCATCTTATAATCCAGTACTGCAACGCCGTAAATTAAAATGGGATACTGTATTAAATGAAAATGGCGGACAGATCCCTGGAAGAACTTCTAAAAGTAAGTTTAAGACTGTTTTGGATGAATTCATATATTCATTTGTGGGATCACGTACAGATTCTTCTCTTTTTATTTCAATCAAGTGAAAAGATATGTTCGAAAAGGCGTTCCACCATCATTACGAGGAAGAGTATGTGTTCATTGTTCATAACTAAAATTGTCTTTTATCATAGAAATTCTCAAAGTGCTTTCGTTTGTAGGTTTGGTTTCATTATAGTGGTGCTGAAAAAAAAATGAGGGACCACTCAGATTTATACCGACAACTTTTATTAAAAGCGCAAGATCCCCGACTAGAGAATGAATACTTTGAGGTCATCGAAAGAGGTGAGGGTATTTAAGGGTTTAATTATTTTCTGTTTTATACCATACATTTACGGTTTATTTCGTGTCTACCCTTTTACATTGTCTAGACCTCCATCGAACATTTCCTGAAAATATAAGATTTAAAGCTACAGTGGTAACAGACAATGGCAATTCGACCATGGTTTCCACAGACAATATACCAATCATTCAGTCACTACGTCGAGTACTCACCGCCTTTTCTTTGTATTCGCCAAATATCGGCTACTGTCAATCATTGAATTATGTAGCGGGTATTTTATTACTCTTCATGGAGGAGGAAAAGGCATTTTGGACATTAGTAACTATAATTCATGATTATTTACCTGAAAACATGTATGATATTACTATGGAAGGTTCCAACGTTGATCAGGCTGTATTAATGATGTTCATTATGGAGAAGATGCCTAGTTTATGGGGTAAACTAAGTGGCGGATTTGGGTGGGATGTAGAAAAATTGGATGGAAATATGCCAACCATTACTCTTGTAACAAGTCATTGGTTCCTGACTCTTTTTATCAATATTTTACCAATTGAGGTAATATATCGGATGGTTTATAGTGATTTGAGGTTTTAATTGATCGGATTTCTTATAATGGCTAATTCTTAACTAACCTTTTATCGTATAGACCTTACTAAGAGTTTGGGATTGCTTCTTTTAGTAAGTTATTTTAATAATTTTCTCTTTAAAGTTAATCGTATTGTTACTTATTCTCAATTTACATTATTTATTATGTTAACAGTGAAGGCAACAAAGTTCTCTTTCGTGTTGCATTGGCAATATTCAAATTGAATGAAGAAAAAATTCTAGCGGTTGATGATCCCATGGAAATATTTCAAGTAGTTCAGGTAATAATAATTATTGACATCATTAACACAGGTTTTGAATATTCGACTCCGCCATTGACGATTTTACCTTATATTAGAATATGCCAAAACGATTAGTAGATTGTCATAAACTGATTGATGTAAGTATTACGGGAATTTATTTTCCTTTAAACCGTAATATCTTAAGATTGAGTTTATTTCTTTTTATAACATTGACAGGTCTGTTTTCGTCGTCGTAAAGGCGTATCTGACATCTCTCAAAAAGAGATCGATCGACGCCGAGAATTTTTCCGTGAGAGACGAAAAAAGCGTGTAGGAGTTGCGATGGGCAAAAATTAATATCGTTATATTTTGAAAATGTACCTCCGATTAATTACTGTTCTTGACGTTTGCTTGTATAGATAATTCATTATGTCCTTACATCATGTGTCAATTTTGCTAAGGATATCTAGAAATACTTCATATTCTACTAACTACTGCATTGAAATCAAATTCAATAACGATTGTACCAAATTGTTCATACATATGTTCATATGTATACTAAACAACCTTTCTCGTAATAAAAAATATTTTATATTTCATAAAGGTAATACTACAAAGTTTTAATCTTAGAATAAAAGAAGTTTCAAAAAATGGTCATTTACAGTATTTTTTATTTAACATATAAGGTGTGTACTGTATATAATAAATGCACTTGAATACCCTGCACCTAATTATAGCACAATACAGTAACAATTCTCGTTGAATTATATGAAAAAAAAAATATTAATACTAGAAACATAGTGTTTTTGATAACTAAAAATTTTACCATTTTTAAATGAATATTCATAAAAATGTAGTTTATTAACAAGATTTCGTGTGTGCTCGAATTTTTATATTTTTTTGACTTTGGATATCCGATCTTCTTTCTTAATAACTTTAATTGGAAAATTTGTTCTTGATTACCATTTTTTTCTTGTTTTTCTCCATAGGTACATTCAGTCCTCAAATATTATTTTTCTTAACTTTATGCATTGCAATCTCTTGAATATTAATTTATATATTATAACTAATAAGTTAATTTCTTATATATTAATTTCAAATCAAATAATTATACTTAATTTTTAATAACCATTATATCATTTAATTACATTATATATCGTAAGTATAAACATTTGACAAATTATATTTAAAGTTTGTTTTTATTTAAAATTAATTTTTTATTATATTATTTTTTTTAGGAATTGAAACAATTATTGGTTTTTTATTTATTATAATTGATTATTCAATACAAGTAATTTTATAATTACTAGATTATAATACATTTCTTTTGCTTAGAAGAGTTTAATGCAAGATTTACAAAATTGGTTCATTTATCTAAACTTTTATTAATTACTTAAGAATATAATAAAAACTTATCATAATCTGTTTAATAAAAATCTTGTATTTAATACTTATCAAAATAATAATAATAATAAATAAATTATTTTTTAAATTATATAAATAATTTGATATATTCATTTTTTAAATTATAATTTAAGTATATAATAATAAAACAAAGTATAAAAAGTTATATAAATATTGTTACGGTAAAATACGGCAAGTCTGTCACTTCTGTTCTGTCTACGCTATACTATGTTTGAGAATGGTTTCTCCTCAAAAGAGATGTAGATATTTGACTTGAGTTTAACAATGACGCAGGTCGATCCGTCAATTGTGTATCGTAACTGCCAACCTCCTGCGTGATCTCTCCTTTGTTTAGTGACACTCTCAAGATAAATAGTCTTTTTAGTGCGCAGTGCCTATTCTCCTTGATTGCTATATTTTTATATTGTCATCTTATTTTTATACTTTTTATGCCTGATATAATTTAGTCAGCTTTGGACTTATTATTCAA